TCCACGTCCTCGATAAACAGAAAAACCACGACTTCGACTACGATTTTCAATTTCAAAACGACAATTTCTTTTTAAATGACCAGGTTTTCCACAGCTGAAACATTTCAACTTATTCTGAAATGATGACCTGGCTTCTGCTCGAAATACATTTGATTTATCATTTGACTCTTCATTAAAATTTTCCTCTGCACTTTTTAACTTTATTTTGCTTTTCAAATAGTCAACAGTCCTCTCCTTTTCTGGTAAAACATCTATTAAATCACCAATATGACTATACTTCTGTGGTAGCGATTTTAACATGTAGTTTAATTTTTCTTGTTCTGATATCATTGCACCTGCCTGCTTTAATTCGTTCACAGCCTTCTCAAACGCGTCGAAGAATAAGCTTACATCTGAATAATTTTTCAATTTGATACTTTCAAGGTTATGTCGGCACACAATTTGCAGAGCTGTTGACTTTTTCAAATACATCTCATCAAACTTTTGGATAATTTCGTAAGCCGTATCAAGTTCGCTTATATATTCTAGCTGTTTGTTAGTTATTCCGCTATAGATATAATTAGTCGCCTGGATATCTCGTTCGTCCCATTCGTCATCATCGGTCTTAATTTTAGCTCTCATTACTACATCTTTACACTTTTTGAACTGTAAAAACTTAAACATACGTAATTTCCAGTTACTGTAATCTGCTCCGTCAAATATTGGTATATTGATATCACTATTCTTCGCCGCCATTACCACGTGTGCTCTTTCTTTGTTTTCTTTAATTATTTAACTCTTTTCGCTTCTTGTTTTTTTTCGTTCTTTTTTCTTTTAACCACTCTCTGCTACCATGTTAAGACAAAAAATGAAGCATTACCTTTCGTTTTCTTTTGTTCTTTTATTACTTAACTTTACTGACTAGCGGAACTTATTTACAACATTTCAAATTGACGAACCTCTGACGACAGAACACTTTTGCCAGTGTTGCCAGATATAGCTGTACAATAATTAACAATATAAATGTACAATAATTAACAGGAATAAAACCTGGAATTGTAATAACTTATAGTTAGTACCTAGCAGAGGGCCATTGGAAGGAGCCCTACAGGGCCAGGTAGAGAGGAAGAGAAACAAACATAAAACGACAACAATAGCAGCAGTGGATAGGTGCAGCGGCCTGCTAATGTCACGCCAAATGAAGCACCCACAGGTGAATAAAGGCCATGGGAGGTGAGATGGAAGAGCCTGTTGCCGACTGCAGACAGCAATCCTGGAGCAGAACCGCCGCTACTGATCAACCGAGATATACCCATACCGGGGTCAAAGCCACTATCTGAAAAATGAAAAGGCCATGCACAGTGACCGAGGAGGTCCATTCGACCAAAGTGACAGCCCCAAAGAGATACAGGACAAGCAAGTCCAGTGCATGAACCTCCATACCTAATGCCCATCCAGAAAGGAGAAATACCCAGCTATTCACTTACTCAAGATGAAGGGACAGAAGGCAACAGGTAGAAGGCACCTTGTATATAGGGATGTTTACGTAAGCTAGTCTGGTAAATGAAGATTTCTTACAAATAAAGAAAAACAATAATTTACTATAGGTCCAACAGTTTGAAAATAAGTGAGGAGAGATAGGGTAAGTCCATCATCCACCAAGTGGCACTACTTCTGAGGCTCAGGCAAGTAAAAGAGGTGCCCAGAATGGATAAGAGAAAAATAGACCTGTACTAGAAGGAAGTAATAAGTGCAGATGGCATGCAAACACCCACCAAAGTGGCTGCAGGAGTACCAAGCAAGCCGAGAAAAGAGAGAAGCTTCACATTAACAACCCATTGGTCAGATGTGAACTTACAAACAGTATTCAGTGGTTTTTATGTTCAGCCATTGGTGGGCTATTTTAAATTTATTTAAAACAAAGTTAAATATTATTACATTGTTTAATTTTAATGAAGATAAATTTTTGACCATCTTCCAATTTTACAACACAAAACTGCAATAAGTCTTCAAAATAATCATGGACAGCTTATCTTTGAAGGCGTGAATGTTAATGTAATAAAATAAGCACTCTCAGAATGTATTCAAAGCAAATACAAATCTTTATTAAACTGCTTTGAATAAATGAATACAAGTAATAGAAGCAAAGAACTAATTTTAAAAGTATTCAACAACATTTAAATCACTAACACCATATACAACTTTGGTCCCTACCCATACAGTAACATTATCATGTTACTGTATGGGTAGGGACATAGTAATTGCATGAATTAATGTCAAGTGTGAGTAAACATAATACAGAGTAATATCAATAAATTACTATCATTCTACTACTCAGAGCCGACTCCATGGATGTGCAACAGAACAGTTTCTAATTCATCAATTTCCATGATACTAGCCAAAAGCAATCAATAATATTCAGTGAAAAAATAATTATTACAGTGTGCAGTCATGCAATTCAATATGGCATATTATTTTTGTAAATTCAGAGCCATCATTATAATATTTAACTATGATATGCAACAATTTAAAAGATCCACTATGCTTATCCATGGCATTTAAAGTAATTTAATTTTACAAAACGTAAATATGTTAAATATACTAAATTTATGAAAAAATACACATTATAAATTTTGATTTGTAAGGCCTAATAAAAGAGTTACTAAATTCTTTATTACATGATTTGCATCTATTATAAATGAAGATAGAAATTTCTCTATCTTCATTTATAATTATAAATAGTACAGTACATCTTATATATTCAACATCACTCCCCAGTATATATCATCATATTCTTAACTTATATATATATTCACATCTCCGACAATAATTAACAGTGACAATTATATACTGCACGAGGACTTGGGCAACCTTGGATCTGCTAGACTCTGTTTCCGTAAGGATTCGAACCCAGGTATCCCAGAGCAGTAGGCTGTCACCTTGATCACTTGGCCTCGACTTACAAACATAAAATCATATTACAAATCTTACACATTCAACATCTCTTGACAATTATTATGCCAAAGAACAATGTACAGCTTGCTTCAGAGAATGTATTTCCTCATGATTCATTTTATGCTTTAATTTTCTGAACAATTTTTAACAATTAATAACAAAAAACTTTAATAAAATTAAAAAATTAAAATATATTCTAATAAACACTTTGAAATGATAAATTTCATGAAACAAGCTCAACATCACAATACATCACATCTTATATACAGGATATTGCCTCTAAGTGATCATTTAGATCCAATTAGCTCATATTTAGTTACATTCTATAAACCTTACATGTGACCTCATATGCTTCTGCATATTAATAAAATAGTATATGATTGCCTTTGATCTAATATCTTATAATTAAAAATTATTATTGATTTTCAATTTAAACATTTGAAAATATAATTAAATGTATACATTCTTAACCACTAAAGAAAATAATACCATAATAAACTTACACATAAATTATGTGATTAATGTTATACAATCTTACTTATTGCAAGAATTTAAACTGTTATGGCACTTTGAATTGCACAAGAGTCCTTTGCTTTTACAACTGCATTTATTCGTGGAACACTTTTTTTGCAATGATAGCGTGTATAGCCTTGCCCTCCACTTTTCGAATTAGCTGCAGCTGCTTCTCTTAGCAATATTTCTTGAGAAGAAATCTCATCTATGGAAAGTAACTTTTCTTTACAAATTACAAACTGATTACGTTATAACGTGATTACGAACTGATCTTTTATTCTGATTATTTAACTGATATTGAATGGTGTCTTTTATTCAGATATCGCCGACGCCTTACCGACGACTCCTCTCATCCTCCGTCACTCGACCTGACAAACCGACCCCCACCTCAAAGGATCAAAAGAACAAAAACGCCATCCAGTGACAAAGTGAGCAGTTTCCACCAAACTGTTGCCAGAAAAAGAGGTACGACTGTGTCCTACTTCCGGCTATCCACAAAATATTTGGTGATAGACTGTCGCCTCTTTCTCGATATCGGCTTCTCGGTTGTCGTTTCGACCTCCACCAAAGCTTATCTGTGCTTGTCGACATACACCGGCGATTGTTCGAATGTATAATAATATAACCAAATATTCGGACTTTCACCTACGTAATTTGTATGTGTCAACATTCACCGGAGAATATGGACATTCTCTAATTTTGGTCTTTCACAGTAACATACATAAATACATAGTAACATACATAATATACAATACATAATAATACATAATATACAATATATGCAATGAAAATGTACATTTAAAAAGAAAATTGAGAATAAACAAACAAATCTAAGCAGAATATAGACTGAATTAAATAATTAAAGTAAAAAGTTTCATAACTATAGTATTTTGTGTTTTGTACAGCAACAAATCTAAACCATGAAATTTTTGGCATTACTATTGATATCACCTTTGTAAGAACATTAATAGCACACATAATATGATGATTTTGATATATGCAATTGGTAATTCCATACAAAAACAACAAGTATAAAACCATTGAAAGTTTGCAAAAATTCACTTGTTTTCATTAAAATCCGTCTGTCGTATTAGTCAGCATCCATATCTGGTAAAAACAAAACTAAATTAATTTACAATTCAATTATTATTATTACAGTAACTTATAGTCAAATTATTTTTATTTTAAGAAATTTCATTAGAGGTTGCAGCCAACGTTTTCAATACAAAATTGTCTACGTATTACATGCAGCACCAGTAATATATAAATTAATATATAAATTTAAAAGTAATACATAAATTCATGAAAATAAAAAAATTAATAAAAAAATTGTTTAAAAATAAATTATTTTCGGGCAAGTTATATTTTTGTTTTTACAAATTAAAAACAAATGGCAAGTTTGCAGTGTACAATTTTACTTATAAAAATAATTTTACAGCATTATGTTTAATACATATTAATTTTCATTGCATGATATATGAAAACATGTCAAAAGTGTTTATACTTATCAGTCTAATAAGTTCCTAATTCTAGCAGTGCCATCTTTAGAACATAATGGGCCCTGGGCCAGGACCAAGATGGGATCCCTTAAGGAAACAGAAACAATAGTATATGTGAGGCTCCGGAAGTAGGTCGAAATTCGCGCAAGATAATGTTTTAATTTCATATAAAAAAAGTGTTTTTTTTTATTATAATAATATATATTGTAAAAAGAAACCGTCTAACGCCAGGTGAATATATTATGTCCATATAAAGTCATATCTGTAGAAATTTCTGAGAAAAAACGAATTTTTCAGAAAGAAACAATAGATGAATTTGAGTACTTAGATCGAGTGTCTTCGATAGGAATCAAATTGTCAATCGGAGTTGACTCACCCCGCGATGTGGGCTCCGATCCCGTTACAATTCGTAACGAGGAGGGAGACCAATTAGAGAACGGGGCAGATCGACATCGCCCTATCGGAATGTTCGATCTGGGACTCAGAAAAACTTATAAAAATCGCGCAAAAATGGGAAGTGACGTTCTTGGTTCGTAGTTCTTGGTTCTAAGTTCGGTGTGCTCCGCTTCTGGATTTTTCCTGCGGTTCGTCGTCCCGAAAGAAGTTTTCGCCATCCTGTTCCAGCAACTTTCGCCAAGGGTAATCTACTGTGAGAATCACCCCTTCAAGTTGTACTGTGCACCCTGGAGCCTACGTTTTCCTCATCATCTTCGCCAAAAGAAGAGAAGATCGTAAGATTGAACTTTATTTACGAACTGATTCACTCTGTGGATAGGCCTTACGCCGAAGAAAACAGTAGTTGTAAGCGAAATTTTTATATTTAATAAATAGTTTGCGATGGAAGACCTGTCTCAGTAAGTTTTTCCACTCCCACATGACAGAGCTGACCGCTCGACTGTCGCGACACTTTTTCCCCAATCGGCAAACCTCGCATATATTACAGACCTAGGGATGCATTATTTGTTTCCTCCTGTGGTGTATATACGATTTTTCACCTCCCTCAGCCAGGAAGTGGAATTTTCTTTCCGCACAGCAGGAAGAAAGTACTGTTTTTGGCCAAGGTGTGGTGAATAAGTATCAAAAATTTTTTAAGTTTTCTTACTCTAAGAATAACAAAAATTATCATCTTAAAAATTAAGTTAATATATTAATCATTGAGTTTTTAATTTTAACCAAACTTTTTAATCAAACTTCTGCACACGAGTGAGTTACTCACTCGTGTGCAGAACTAGTGTGCTTTTGTTTTTAACTTAATTAAACATGTTTCTGCCTGCAAATACGTGAGGGCACTCAAATTTATTGTGGTTGACTCACATACAGTTACATCCCATATCCGTTTTATTGTTGTAGTGTGTATCGTTGTCATTCAGTGTTTCATTGTTACAGCATGTATTATTGTTGTTCATGGTTGTTTTAAGTAGTGTTTAAATTAAACTGTATAGAAAATGCATCACGAGTATGCTATTGGCACTGCAAAACGGTAGGAAACAAAAGAAAATAAGGAAAAAATACAGAAGTTTAACTAAAATAACTAACTTTATAAAAGCATGTAATAGCAACAATGGAAATTGTCTTCAGGACGTGGAATCTGCGGAAAGTGCAATTGAACAGAAACAAAATATTCAGCCTGATACATGCGTATTACGAGATGATAAGATCGGCAGTTAATGTATTAATACGTATTCTAAAATAAATATTTAACAAGAAAACAAGGAAAAGTATTGGAATGAAGTTTTCGACACATAGTGAATGTCATAAAATTTCTTGAATCTAGGGGGTCTACTTTTTTGAGGTAGTAATCAACTTTTCATTAAGTTCACAATGATAACTATCTAGGGATACTAGAGCTATACAAGTAACTATGATCCGTTTTTAAAAGAACATATCGATAAATATGGAAATAAGGGACACAAGAGTATGTCATATTTATCTGTAAACGTATGCTAAGAGTTTATAGAACTAATAGGTGAACAAATTTGTTTATATATTATTGATGAATAAAAAAGACAAAATATTTTTCTATTAGTGTCGACTCGACTCCTGATAACTCTCATGTTGATCAATTAACATTTATAGTTCGTTACGTTATTGAAGAAGGTCCAATCAAACATTTTTTAATGTTTATACCTACTGAACAACATGAAGCAGAATACTTATCTGAAACAATTTAAAAATTTTTAGAATCCTACAATATTGATATCGATGATTGTAGAGGACAATCTTGCGATAATGTTTCAAGCATGTCTGGTCAAACAATACAGTGGAGTACAGGTGTGTATAAAATGAGTGAATAAATATGCAAAGTATATTCCATGCACAGGGCATTCCTTAAACCTTGTAGGTGTGAAAGCAGCTGAATGCGTAATACAAGCAGTTTCTTACTTAGGATTCATGCAAAAACTGTATAATTTTTTTCTTTTAGATGGAAAAAATTATCTCCATCAGGAAGCCATTTCAGTGAACAGGAAAAGTTATAAAAGATCTTCTAATACTCGATGGTTGGCTCGGGCTGATGCTATTGACTTTTTGTATGAAGGATATGACAAAATCTTTGAGGTATTAAAAGAAATATCAGAAATTGACACACAATCTAACAATACAAAGTTAGAAGCTAAGTCTCTTATGAAACACATATCAAAATTTAATAATATTTTCTTGACTGTCACTTGGCGTGATATTTTAAATCATATACATGAGACAAACAAAAGTTTACAAAAAGAATGTTTAGACTTAGTGTAGCAGTTCGCCTGCTAAAATCTTTGGAATCATATTAATCTGAAAAAAGAGATTTTAATGATTTTTTTGAAAAGAAAAATCTCTCTCAAAAATTTCAATTGATTTTTCAGAACGAAAATTCAGAGAAAGAACTGTAAGATTAACACGTTATGATGGATTGAGAGAAAACACTCAGCATACTCCCGAAGAAAAAATAAAGATTGAAATATTTTTACCAATTATTGACTCTCTTTGTTCAAATTTACATAAAAGGGTAACTGTTTATAAAAAATTAATAATGATTTTCAGTTTTTTACTTCACTTCAAAATATGAATGATGGTGAAATAAAAGATTCTTGTGAGAACTTCGCAAAAACTTATGATAAAGATGTTTGTGACAAAAATATAGTGAACAAATGCATTCATTTTAATAAAGTAGGACTTACTATCGTCTACATTTCCTAGTATAGAGATCAGTCCTAGAATATTTTTAACTGTAATGATTACAAATTGTTCTGGTGAACATTCATTTTCTGTTTTGAAATTTATAAAAAATGCTCATTGTAATAAGATGTCTCAATCGAGATTAAATAATCTTTCTATTATGAATACAGAATCGGATATAATTACTAAAGTAAATTTCGATAAATTAATTATGAATTTCACAGCATCAAAATGCTGAAGAAAAATTTCGTAAGTTTGCTTAGTTTTAAGGTCATTTTTAACTACGTACAGGAGAAATAAAGTATTTGATATTTTTAATAATTTATTTCAATTAATCTATTTTTTATTTGTAACTTTATTACTTTCAGATTAGGGGGCCCCCTACAGCCTGGTGGCCCTGCCCTAAAGATGGCACTGAATTCTAGACCAATCAATATAAAAACCTTATTGGCCTGGAATCAGGACAGTTGCGCTTAGTGTAAGATTCGGGTAAAGATCGGGTACACCTTCAATGGCAAATCAGCAAAAAAGTTCACCCAAGTTTGTAATTTGTCTATGTCAAATTTGTGACAGTTTTAATGCAAAATACATCTTTATAAATAAAAAATTTATGCCTACATTTCTATAATATTAATAAAATATTTAAATTATTTATTGTATTTTAAACACTAAATAATTTTACAGTTTATAATATTAACTACAACAATAATACAATATATAAAAATTAAACCTACTTCCCAATTCTGAAAATATCTTTTTCTCAGCATTCCATAACTCTGTTCTTACCTACAGTAAATAAAAGTTTTGTGTAAATATAATGAAAATAATAATTACACAGCAGAATACATTGGGTTATTCAAAATCAGAATGTACAGCAAAGCACATCAATTTAAACAATACATAATCTGTTTTGCTATTTCTACAATATGATTAATGACAATGTATTAAACAAAAAACATTATAAGCAAATACAAACGAAATCTTTACACTCCAGCACTTAAACAAGGCAACGAATCAATGTAACTAATATTGATTAAATGTAAAGATAATACAATACTGAATTCTGTTATACAGTCTGATACCATTATTTTTCTAACAGATCCGATCTAATACAGTGATATCTCATACTTTAAATGTTCTAGAATTTGAATGCTAAATTCAAAAGAAATTGGACTCAGAGTTTGAACAATACTTCTATGTTTGAACTGTAGCTGCAGAGAAAAAATGCATCCATTGTATCAATGACATGTTGTGCAGCCAACTTGTCTCTTGCTCTTGCTGTGAAAGCAAAGCATTGCTTTATTTTTGTATTTGGTTATACATATTATCCCTATGCATTAACCATGGCATCCAAAAAGTGTGTGAAAGCAAAGAAGCCTAAGAAGAAACTGTAGTATCAACAATTGAGACAAAAAACAAACTTAGTGCAAAATGGGAAAGCTTTGCATGTGACAGATCTGGCAGCTATATTTAAGACAACAAAGTCAATAGAGTGCACCATTCTTAAAATTAAGAAAATAAAAGCAGCAAACTTAGATAAAGGTGTGACAACATTGACTTCTAGGAGATCACATTTCTTTGAGGATATGGATAACTGCTTCTAGTGTAAATAAATAAGAAGCAATTGACTGGCAAAATCATCTCTGAGAGGATTATTTGTGAGAAAGCCAAGCAACAGCAGAGTGACCTTAAGATACACCATTCTTCACTAATGTAAAGTGTACATGCAATTTTCATTTCATTGTACAATATTTAGAGATTTTATTTATTATTTTCATGTTTTAATTTATTATTTAGGGCATTTAACTGTGTTATTTTTATCTTAAGGTAAGTGTTTTGTTGATTTTCTTATCTTATTAGAATAAAGAAAACAAATTAAGTCCTTTCACATATGTAAAACTTTACTCCCTACATCATTACAAACAATAAAACTATCTGCTCTCTACACCCAAAGAACCCTTGTTGACACTGACTAAATACAGCACCCCTTCAAGTTTTCCTTGGTTTTTGCTTACACATTAAATACAATCTCCAACAATATTTGCTGTTTAAGTTTACCAAAATGAGTATTGTGTAGAGTGTGGTATGGATTATTCACTTTTCATTATTTCTAATGGGGAAATCAATTAGGACTTTGAACAATTCAGAGTTCAAACAGCCTCTTGAAACAAATTAAATTCATAGTTTGAGGTACCATTGTGTTGGAAACATTCAGATATGCTGATACAACCAGCATCAGTTACATCTTTAAATAAAATATTATATAAAATGTTCTGTATTAAAGAACTTTTACATGGTAAATATTGAGCATTATTGATAAAGGATACTAAATANGAAAAGTCGGATAACCGAAAAGTATGAAAAAATCCATTATTAGTGTAGTATATTATTATATCCCATGTAATTAGTATATTAGTATATCACTATTAACCTATTTTGCGTTGAATTTTCATCGATGTTAAGCCTAACAAAAATTTTTTAAAATAATAATCGTCGCTATTGTATCGTTAAAAATTAGAAAATTAAGCCTGGTTTAAATACTGGCTCCCTTTCATGGTCGAATGAATGTTGCCAGCTAAAACACGTAAAAATAATATTAAAGTAGCCAGACATAGCCAAATATTGTAGCTCCACATCACTAGCAGACATTTGAAATTTGCCGACTAGGGCGGTCAGTTAACCGAGGTGGCAGTTAATCGAGGATCGGGTAATCGAGGCTCTACTGTAATACTCAAATATTAGACTTACTGCAGGGAATTCATCCAAGTTGATGTCATTCACATAGTCAAATTCACTTGAATTGTTCAACGGCTGATTAGGGACACTTTCATCTTGATCAGTAAAAGGCAAATCCATATTAGAAATGTTTTCTGTATTCTGAATGCAGTTTTCAGTGCTGTCTATCAAATCAAGTATATTATCCAAAAGTGAAGAATCTTCTACTTGAATTTCTCCATTTTCATGCAACAATACTGTATACTCAGAATTTGTTTGAGTATTTGATGATTCTTCATCTTGGAAATTAGAATTTACTGTTTTATGATAATCTGCTGAATTTTCTGCATCAGAAATAACTTTACTTCCAATATTTTCGTATTCTGAACTGTAATCAGATAGAGGACTAAGCTGATTTTCTGTTTTCATCTGATTTTCCACTTCTTGCTTATCATTTTCATTCATTAAATTATCATCTTCTGTTTGCAACAGGCATCCTTCATCAACATCATCATCATCAGAAGAAGAAGAAGAAAAAGAATCCTGAATTTTTAATTGTTTTCTTTGTTTATATTCTATAATGAATATACAAAAAGATAAAATCTAAGTAATGACTTTTAAACCACTTTTTACATAAATCTGCATTAAAATATTTAAGACTTATGTTTGAAATCAAATTTTAATGAAAATTAAAATGTTTCTATATAAAAAGATAAATTTTGAAAAATCAAACAACAAGAAATTATGGCTACTTTTCATTAGTTTAAAGTAGGGGTCGCCAAAGTGGTCGATATGGACCCCCAGGGGTTGATGCAACCTCATTGTGAAGTCGATGCGGCTAGGGGGTCGATTAGGGGGTTGATGCGGCTAAGGGGTCACAACCTTTTTTTTTTTTTTTTTACTTTTGCTTAGACAGAGACCACAACAATTTTTTTTTTTTCACTCATACATATACACTTGTAATAAAACTTTACGGTAGAGGTCAATCTGAGGCTTCAGAAAATGATTGGGGGTCGACGGTTAAAAAAACTTTGGCGACCCCTGGTTTAAAGTAACATCATTGTCAACTTTGTTATGCTTCAAATTAACTCTATAGTAATAATCTATGTTTTTTAATTATGACACTGTTCAATATATAATGGGACTGTTTCGAATAATTTGGCTCCCAAGGTAGGCCTAAGAATAGCACCAATGTACTGTACTTATATTTCTATAATACTCCACTTATTTAATATCCCTTCCAATTTGGCTCCGGAGGAACTCGCTCCTCTGCCTCATCTATCAACATGGCCCTGATATACAGCAGGCTCTAACTGTATTCAGATGCCTCTTGCAACTTTTTCTTCTCATTAAGTTTGAATGTTATTCCATTTATTATTATCAATTAATTTTATCATCTTCATTTACATGGTTTTGATTAAGCTAATATAATTCTAAACAGTTAGTTTTAAATCAAATATTATATATAATTTTTCATAACATTTTCATCTCTCTTTCTTTAATTCTTAGTGTTTTCAGGTCTCTCAGTATATCAGCGGTACTAAAACAATTGTGGTAGAAGTGCAATATAAATCTAATAAAGTAAAACCTGTGTAAACCGCAGCTTCATAATACTCAAAACCTTGCAGTACAGAAAAATACACCCCCCCAAAAACAAAGTCAAAACTAATCTAAAAACAGCCTAAAAATATTCCCCCTTCAAAATTCTATGGCAGAATTGCAAAGTACTAAATATTTTTTCTATTTATGCAGATTTCCATTTATTCATGTTCTATTTTGAACAAGTTTTACTCTATTAAATTAAGGTTAGAATCTGTGTTGCACTTCTGTCAACAGTTTTCACATACCCATTGATGGGGTGAGACCACAAAAGTACTAAGGTTTAAGAGAGTGTTGCCATTTTCAATCTCCAAGAAAGCAGAGAATATGATAACTTATTAAAATTTATATATATCAACATCCCGAAACCCAATGCATTGATACTAAGTATAATTAACTCTATAGTAATAAACTAAGTATCGCCATTAATTAATAATAGTCTGATTATTAACGGAGATCATTTGGATTATTATTAAAATTTAACTGAATTAACACAGAAATAAAATCAAAACTTACTATTAAATTTTTTCAATTGATAAAGTCTGTATTTTGATTTTTTTGACATTTTGATAGGTAAAACTTTATTTTTTAACTTATATAATGAGGATCTAAAGCGATCTTTGGCATTTGTATAACATTTAGGATCATTTTCATCAAATAAGTTATTAACTTTGCTCCAAGCCTGTAATTAAAAATATTTAAAAATTAGCTTGTAAAAAAAATAAATAATGTCTAAAGAATAGAATATTTAACAATTACAGAATGAGAACAAGACACAAGAAAGGTGTAATTTTGGAGTTTCTTTTTATGATATTTGTAAACTATATTATTTTATAGTACATTTTAAAGTTTATTGGGTGCAACTCAATACACTCAATAAACCCAACAGTATTTTAAAAAATAAAGATAAGCAATTTCAATCAAAGATAGACACAATATAAAAACCTAAGTCACAACTATATTGTTTCCAATAAACTATCGTCGCAAAAAGCAAAAACCACGTTAGCATTTTTCTCCATATTAAATGGACATCTTCAGGCTCTTAGCATTCTAAATTCAAGCTGCACAAGATGGAGTGCCTCAATTTGAAACATGCAGTTGCATGAATTTGTGGACTGTGTGTCTTAGTAATTTTATAGACTGATTATAAAGTAAAGCAGGTCTTCTAAGCTAATGGAAAAGAATCTGCATTCTTGAAATTAATAGCTGCATTTCTTTATATATTTCTAACATCTCCAAAAGTCTGAGTTGAGTTGTATGGTGTGCGCAGAGCAGGATTACATAAAAAATGTTGACACACCTGTATGAGGAAGTAATTTTTCATGAAGTTGGGCCTAAATTATCTGCTATTCGATAGAAAAAAACCTGTGCGATAAAGATAAATGAAAAGGAGGGGTATAAATAAATGTAGTGTTCTGGGTATTTCTTCTGGAGATTCTTAGACATTTAGACCATTAAAAAATTTTAAAAAGAGTACAAACAAAATATTTAATTCTCTAAAAGAAATCCGTAAATCCTAGTCTTACTCTAGCAACGTTTGGGTTATTGGTCTTCAAAGGAAACTTGAAATTAAAATAGACTAATCAGTTTATGAAAACTTTGAGTTATATTGTAAACTGTTTTATGTGAAAATTTTATTCTTATCCATTCAAAATAACATAAATCAATTGTATTAATTATAACTGAATAGTTAATACAATTGATTTATATTAGTTTGTAATAATTTAAGATATTGAATTTATTGAGAAAATATATTTTGCAAAGGCTTTTGAATTTTTATTTATAAAATCATGAACAAACTTTTTAATACTAAAAAAAGAAAAACAATTATTCTTAAGGAAGCATAAAATGCATGCATTTTTAAAAGAAAATTTTAATGCTTTTAAATAATATGTTTATTTAAAAGAAAAAATTAATTGTGCAATTTTAGATCGTATTAAATGTAACTTTTTGTCATTTATTTGGAAGTGTGGCACGTAATTTTGAAAAAAGCTCATATCAGTCTTATATATGTTTCACCCTGCTTTCTGTCTGAAACATACCTGCAGAGCTCCTTTTTTTTTTTTTTTTAACTTTTTATGCCCCGTGGGCACTAAGAGGGCCTCTGTTAGCAAGCCTGATACGGGTTCGGCCAAAACCCAACGGGTGCAAAAATTTAAAAATTGATACGGGTGGCGAGAGACGAGGGCCACACCCCGAAAAATTCTGGGGATTTTTCGACCCGTCCGGATTCGATCCCGGGTCCTCCAGAGCGGTAGGCCGTCGCGCTCCTAGCTAGCAAAGACGGCCGGACTCCCAACCATATTACCTAGTAACGTCGTTTCAAACTACCATAAATTTACTTTTTGTAAACTATTTTCATTCACATTGTATAGCTACTTATTATACGGTGCGATCTTAAAGCCGCTCCGTAGTAGGCGAGGAAAGGGAGAAGCTTCGGCGAACAAAGTAACGAAGCCACGAAGCCACGNATTTAAAAAAAAAATTAATCGTGCAATTTTAAATCATATTAAATGTAACTTTTTGTCGTTTATTTGGAAGCGTGGCACGTAATTTTGAAAAAAGCTCATATCAGTCTTATATATGTTTCATATATATTCATCCTGCTTTGTCTTAAACATACCTGCAAAGTTCTTTTTTTTTTTTTTTTTAACTCTTTATGCCCTGTAGGCACTAAGAGGGCCTCTTTTAGCAAGCCCGTTACGGGTTCGGTCAGGCCCTAACGGGTGCAAAAATTTAAAAATTGATACGGGTGGCGAGAGACGAGGGACAACACATCCAGACGGACCACACCCCGAAAAATTCTGGGGATTTTTCGACCTGTCTGGATTCGATCCCTGGTCCTCCAGAGCAGTAGGCCGTCACGCTCCTAGCTAGCAAAGACGGCCGGACTCCAACCATATTACCTAGTAACGTCGTTTCAAACTACCATAAATTTGCTTTTTGTAAAGTATTTTCATTCATACTGTATAGCTACTTATTATATGGTGCGATCTTAAAGCAGCTCCATAGTAGGCGAGGAAAGGGAGAAGCTTCGGCGAACGAAGTAACGAAGCCACGAAGCCACGGCGTGGCCCACTGCAAAGCGACTCTACGATCGTATCGTTTTTGGAGTTTTTAATATTAACATTCAAGGTATCGTTTGTGAANCTGTGTGCGCGTCCGCCCTGCAGTGTGCAGTTCCACGACGAAAACAAGCTTCAGCGATGGCGGTGCACAGTCGGTAAGTAGTCCTACGATTTTTTGTTTATAGCGTTTTTTAAATTAGTTTGCCATCACATATTCGATGTGTTTTGGACATGTCTAGCATGTATGTCTCTATTGAAAATATAATTAAGAGGAAAATCGTTGGTGTATCCTAACTAAAGCATTACCCTACATTCACAATTTTAACACATTTGTCCTTTAAAATATTATATAATTAACCACAGAAGTTACCTCATTTCGTCGATGTTAATGGATCACGTTTCCTACACATTCGGAGATGACCGCTTACATCACGCAAGGCCGCTTATTCGCTTTGCTAGTAAGTAGCGTTGCCATTCGCGACATATGAAAAAACTTAGGTCTGGATGGGAAAAAACCCAGATTATTTTCCAGAAAAATTCATGATTAAAATGTAATTATAAATACTTTATCATAGTACATTCATGCTGTTATAATTACAGACACTATAATACAAATTTTAAAAACAGATTTATTACATAGTTTACACAGTAGTTAATGTTATTTCACAGCTCTTTTTCCATTAACAGTACTGCACAATCTTCTTTGCTCTTCTAGTCGCTTCTTATATCTTTGGTGGCAAATATATACCTTGTTCTGCATCTTTAATTAGTTCAGGTTCGGGTTCATACAGCGAACAGCTAAGATTTTTCCTATTGATCGCTTGTTTAGCAATCATCCTGTTCTTTGATGATTCAATAGTTAAATTAACCCCAGTGTTTTTTTAAATTGCTGTATTAATTTCAAAATACACGTAAGCAATCCGGATTTTTAAGTAGCTGGAGTTAAGATGTCGCTGTTTGTGTCGCGATAGCAAATCATTGCGGGGTATGATTTTATAGCTTGAGCAGGTGCTTAAGTGTATCTGTGTAGTTTTAACTCCACGTGATTCAGGATTCAGCGAATAAAGTACGATGCTTTTCGTTTTTGCAAAATAAAATAACTTAAATAATAAAAATATATTAGATTTTATAAACAAATCTAATATTTTTTTATTATTTAAGTTATTTCAATAAATATAAAATGACATATCATTATCCTATTGCTTATGAGAATTTATCTTCAGAACTTTTGGAGAAAAATGACAATTTCTCCAATGACAATATTTTTCTTCCTGACAGTGACTACGAATTAGATAATCTGAGAATGCAATCACTCAATGATAGTGAAGCAGATGCCAGAGTTACCGGCAAACACAGAATCATCTCTCATCAGATTCTGTGTAATTTATCATATGTAAAAATGGAACAACCAAATGGTATGAGGAACCAATGTTCATACTACAAATAACTATAACATTACCGTGTATTAGTGTTACCACCCGTCCGGTTTTCACCCGGACAGTCCGGGAATCGACTCACTGTCCGGGTGAACTACTAACTTTGTCCGGGAATATCGTGCGCACCCTGTCCACCTTTTTCTTTTGTTTTTAATTTTTTTTTTTTTGCTTGTACGATTCGTATTCGTACACGTCTCCAATATCCAATAGAGCTAAGTCATCTGTAGTTGTTTTTTCTTAATTAATTTAGTTACTTATGTTACTCCTACCCAAGTCGCCCTAGTCCCTAACTGTAAGGGCCGGATGTTGATCTATTATTTACTTGTTTACTGCGTCACAGATGTACTTTAACCTGCAGGTGTCATTTTTACGAGTCGCAGTGAACGACACGTGCTGTAAAAACATGTAATTAAATGAGCATGTGTAATTAATTNGTGTCGTGACATTTGATGATAGGGAAGTTGTGTAAGAAGCCGACATCCAGGGGCAATCAGTTAATTGCGCGTCAGCGATGGTCTAGGATACATTCGTATCGTTTGTTCGATAAGCCAGTAAAAACGGGAGACTTCTCTAAACCACGATATATAATTTAAATAATTATATGTTTTTTTAATGCGTATTATTTACTTGATTGACATGTAATATAATTATTACCTCTACTTTTAAGGGTGAAAACAATACTCATTCTAACATCAGATAATCCATTGACTCTGGTTATACTGAAGGAAGAAAAAGACAATTTCCAATTAAAATATATTTACTGTTTACTTAACGAAAGTCCATCAGTGGCCGAATAGATAAAACCACCCACACTGGTAGTTGTAACCATTGGGATCGTGCCTGGCCAACAAGCTGGCACGTGGCGTTTTCCCGGTTTTCTTTGCGTATCGAATACGTAAATAGGGGCCAACATCTCGTAAATGTCCCCTGGGAGGCACTCCTCTAGGCAGATCGCGCGTGTTACGCCAATTTCACACTATAATCGACTAGACCAGGGGTCGACAAAGTGGTCGATATAGACCCCCAGGGGTCGATGCAACATCATTGGGGAATCGTTGCGGCTAGGGGGTCGATTAGGGGATCGATGCGGCTAGGGGTCGATTGAGGAGTCGATGCGGCTAAGGGGTCACAACCTTTTTTTTTATTTTTGTTGCTCATAAACATACACTTGTAATAAAACTTTACGGTGGGGGTCAATGTGAGGCTTTGGAAAGTGGTTGGGGATCGACGGTTATAAAAGTTTTCCGACCCCTGGACTAGACCGACCAGATTGCAAAACCATTCACATTGTGAATACGCTCGTAGGAAGGATGCCTTCCGGCAGGTCTTTCTAAGAGTAACTGGCCCTTTTCGGGCGTTACAGACGTGCAGCAAACCCGGAAAACTCCACGTGGCCAGCCCGTCCTGGCCAGGCGCAAACCCACAATCAAACTCCCAGTGTTCAGGGTAGGAAGACTGCTTGACCACTGGTGGGCAGGGCCGGATCATAGCATAGACAAATGAGACAAATGTCTAGGGCCCGGTTTTTAGAAGGGTCCGGTTAAATTGTCTATTTTGAAAGATATTGATGAAATTTTTAAAATTCTTCATACAAACATAGCTGACGGCGACATGAGGACATATCAATTAATACTAGGGCCGTATTCTGGTCACTATCTCTGGTCTCTTGTCTCTCGCAAGCCGGTCGCTGATTGGCTAATCCAGATGATTAGCCAATCAGCGACTGGCTTGCGAGAGACGAGAGACCGTGACCAGAATATGGCCCCTGCATTGCTAAAAAAATGGCACAGTGGCGATATTGATACAGAAGAATTGGACGAGGAATTGTTGCAATTTAAATTAATTTGCAAAAGCCAAAAATTAACGTTGCCGTCCGATATGCTGCAATTTATAAAGAGCACAAAAGTAGTATCAACACTTCCAAATATATAAATATTATTGCGAATATATTTAACTTTGTCTATATCAAATGCATCTGGTGAAAAGTCATTCTCAGTATTAAAATGTGTAAAAGATTACGAAACTCACTTAGTGAATCAGAATTAAATTCTTTAGCTTTTTATACATCGAACAAAATGCTTTTGATAACATTAATTATGATAAAATAATTGATAATTTTGCTGAATTAAAGACTAGAAAACAGAATTT